TAGCCTTCACCCCACCCCCCGATCATCAGGCCAAATATAGCACAGAAATGATACTACCTTCCATTTTCTTCTTTACTCGTTCTGGCTGCTTCTCGTACCTTGCTACCTTACTACCCGCTCGCTTCATCACCCAACTGCGCCTGAACACAGCGTCCACAAAAAATAAGTTGAGTCAACAGGTTTAGCGATTCATCTACTCCGGCTCTTGTCTCCAGCTCTCTGAATTCGCAAGTTAAATCTTGAAGACTCATCAAGCGCAAACGGCTTACTCTTCGTCTCTCACGATGAATAGTTCGGGATAACTATACATTACATCTGATTCCCGACCGCAAGTATTTTATCGCCGATCCTATTTCCTCCATCATTACAGATTGTCAATAAGTTTGATGATTGAATCGATCCCACCTGATCAGTCTTGAACTTCCTGGAAATCTAAAACGCAAGCCATCTGTTTTTTTATGAGCTTCATGCATCCCCAATCTTCCCAAGATACGGCATCGACGTCTCCTACATCTACTACAATAATAGTGATTCTTAGTAGGAATTGTACATACTCTTGCTTCTGACAGACTTCCCGTCATCCCTATACTGCTGTGCGATACTCCTCCACTATTGGGCTCCTACATATAAGTGACATGGAAGAAAATATTCAAAAATAATATTCTACCGGAATTTGATTGTGTATCTCAAATGAATATTCGGATAATAATTTTCTCCTCACAAGCTGTGAATTATACGGCGCAAATACTGTGTCAGAAAGACTTGCAGTCAATAAGACGAGGCCGAAAAAGTTTTGTTGCACATCTCAATTTTTTATTTCTACGGTTGTTGCCTCCAGACAAGTTCTCGGCTGTCCCCAAGGTTGGCATTTTTACTATGTCCAATCTATGCCATCTCTAAACCAACACGTGATTTTAAATTCTACATCCAGGTGCTGGATATCACTATTCTTCATCCTTCAAGTCTTCGGCAATTAAAATGCCACCCCAAAACTCGAAGCTGTGTGTACTCGCCAGGCCGCCGGTAAATATGCTTCAATTCTTGACTTGTGAGTTAAATACATCTACTGCACCCCTCAGTATATAGTATACACACCACTTAGTCAGAGGTTAGACTAAGTGTCTACTATACTGGCCAACCTCTTGAGCTCTACCAATTACTTTCGCCGCTCGCGTAATGTGTCTGGATCAGATCCTACCTACCTCTACGATATATAAGAGTTATCGAACATACTCACCACACACCGTAATGTTTTGTGATATAATCCCTGCAAAATTCATATTTTGTTATATAAATTAAAATATTAAACAATTAATATAATTCTTGATATCAAATTAAAATAAATTGCTAATAGATAATCTAACTTATTTTTTATATATAAAAATTTCTAATTTATTTTTAATCATTTTTGTTGAAAAGTTATATAAGCTTTTAATTAAAAAAGTTCAGAATTTTTAATTTGTAATGTTTTTCCTATACAAAATAAGCGAATTTTTCGAATTTTTTTGAATTTTCAATTTTAATCTTTTAAAAACATTATTATAAAAATATTTAAAAATAAATGATATATTTTTTCGAGTAATTTTAATAATTTTAAATCTTTTTGAATTTTTTTTTTAATTTTTTTTTTTATTATAGTAAATAAACTAGGATATGAAAAGGTGAATAATCTTATATTTTAGTTGGAAAAGTGTTACATGTGTGGTGAGCAGGGGCTAGAACTCTTACCTTGAGATTGGCATTGAGTCTATACTGACTTCAGCATGTTTCGAGGGGATCTGAGACCGCCGCGCCTATGACCGATAATTAATTAATATACTCAGAGTAGGTTCATGTGCGCGTGCAGGAATATAAGTATATCGCAGGAGTTTCAAGGGGTTTTTGGGTTGAGTACTACCTTTTTCCGTAGAATAGATAAATATACTACATAATTCCTCATAGGTATATATTTGATTATGAATTTGAAATACTGTCACCAGCCTCTTATCGTCTGGCATATGAGTGAATCAAGACTTTACATGCTGCTCGTCATCGCATTCAGTATAATAGTACATGCGAACTGATGTTGAGACTTCTAGCCCTAGATGAATTGAGACTTTAAGACATAATACATGAAGTCTGATATACACCATCATATGTAAGAAGTTGCGTTTCGCAATTAGATATTGTTGTAGCCTTCTAGAATAGAGGTATGTATACAAAAGCGAGGAGATCAACTCTACCTCTGAAATACTTTAATACTTACACCACTATCATTCGAACTAATATGATGGTCATTTGTTGGCCCCCTCAAAGCTTTAAAAATATCCATTATACTCATATGAACGTGAAGAATCCATATACTCACCACATCAGCACTCATACAGTCTTCTATAGAAAACTTAAACGAATGACCTCGTCAAATCAGCCCGAGAGCTCCCGGTGAGCACCCAATCCTCACATTTCCAGAACAGATTCCTAAAAACAATATTCTGGATTGTGAAGTATTTCCTTAGCATCTGCTCAAGTTTCCATTTCCATCAAAGATATATTATATTTTTAAGAATCAGATTCATAATGAAAAAAAAAAGTTTATTCAATTTATATTTTTCTCCATCTCTAAACCCATAAATAGATATTTAAATCCATATTGAGACACTACAAGAAAAGTAAATATACTCTCAACCGTGTAAAAGTTTGCGAGTGAGCAAATTTCGTATATGTTGGTATCACCATGGGGATGGTGAAGTAATATAGTACTAATGATTCACACTGTTATAATATTGCTTAAGGTTCTAAAAGCTAAAGGCTACGAACGTATATGCTATAGTGCGGGGGCGCTAGCGCATGCGCTAGCGCGGTCAGTCACATGATCCCTATCCCAACAGTATACAATACATATATTACTATCAAAACACATGTTTGATTAAGCTCCAATGAGTAAGTATACACCTACAAATCCATTGATTTACTAGTCGAAATAGTACACAATCCCTCCCTTCTGCCTATTCTACATTTCAATTTCCCGGTGAGCCTATCTCGCTACCACATTTTAATATCAAGTATGTACTCCATCGAATTTCTCACTCCTTCAAGCACTCAACATGAAAATCACACAATCTCATTCAGCGATTCAGGTACCGAAGCAGAAGCTATCTAATTCACTACACTCAAACGACTTCCATTTCTGCTCCCGTCCTAAAATCGCAGAATCAACCTCCCCTACCTACCGAGCCTACCTATCCCTCTCCCCCGTCCCGCTACCCAGCCCCCAAAAATAAACCTAAGCCTAAGCCCAAATCTAAAAGATCACCACTCTCAACCCAACCCAATCGGTTGAACCATACGTAAAATCCATACAGAAACTTATTCCAGCGCACCAATCCACTCATTCACCACTAACCAGCAACTTCAAAACCACTCACCCCTCACATGACCACCCACATGACCACCCACATGACCATCCACATTACACACCCGGCCCAGCAACCCTCACCCGCACCCAGTAGGCACCTAGCCCACCCACCTCACCGAGTACAAAGAAAAAAAAAGGACATTCACAACACAACACAACTCACCCATCCATCCATACAAATCCACATTTTTCTTCTTCCCCCCCCCCCCCTTTCCCCTCCAGTGCCTTCACCCATGCACATATACATACATACATGCATACATACATACATACATGATCTACACGTTTGTAAAAACTCTGTACTACTGCGCTATAGCGGGTATTCACGTTTTTAGAGCGAGCCGAGAACACATCGACATATTCCGAAAGTGACCGAGTCATGCGTATGTATATGTATATCCGTTTTCACTTGGCATGAAGATCGAGACTGGATTTTAATTGCATGGAGCGCGTACCACTTCGCGTGGTGTGTGCATGTAATACACAGTGAGACAGCTTTAGAAAATACCTTGGAGAGGTTGGACAATAACGTATTTTCTTAAGATGTAAATATATTTGTTTGTGTAAAAGCTACTACTGTACTCCGACTCGCTGCACTTCACTCCCCGCATCTTGATCTCCCCCCTCTCTTACAGTACTGCCAGATACCTAATGATATTTGCCCCTCATCCTCCTCCAAAAAGAATACAAATCTCTTCCATTCAAATTGCTTGCTTTCCTCTCATCTCCTCCCTATTCAATCTTCCACTCAACCTGATCCCTCAAACTTCTTCCCCGTGTATTGCTATACTCCGCATCTCATCTGTAAGAAAAGAAACGAGCTAGAAACAAATACAGAATAGTCATAGTCCTATAAACATTCTATAACATTGACGGACAAAAAAAGAACTACAGCTAAAAATAAAAGGATGAAGTAATGCCTCATTGTAAAAAAAACTCAACACCATTTCATGCCGTAAAGATATAAAACAAGAAATGATGCGCCATCCATTTCCCTACCTATCCAACACCATCCAACCCTTTCATCTCTCGTTCATGTTCTTATCTCATCTGTTCGTAATCATTTGGTGTCATATCTCCTTTCCCCATCCAAAACTTGTCCTTCGTTAAAAGCAAAATAGAAGTTCAAAACGCAATAGAAAATTTGTATATCCCAAGATGGTATCAAATGAGAAACCCCCGAAATATTAAGAAAATTAAAAAACAAAAGCACGCTGAAAGACATTAGCTAGATGAAAAAAAAAAACATTGAAAATATCGAAGAATGTAAACACATTAGCTTCATCTTTGGTGTAGAGGAAACGATCCGCCTTTTTGAGGTAGAAAGATCTATGCCTTTGAACAAAAATTAAGAATTCGACAAAACGCAACCCGTCGCCCACACAAAAACTCACAAAAGGAAATAGCTCTAGCTTTTGAGATACTGCCTCCCAGCCAGAATTGACATATGGAATCTACATGACCTGGATCCAGTTCCAGGTAAAGAATCTTGAGGTCAGAAAGTTTTCGATTACGAAATCGTCGCTATTATTATGGCACTCCTAGCGTTCAAAGGGGCAATGAGGATTTAAGTGAGTGGTTCACGTGACACCAATTTTCGTAATATTTATTTTTTGGATCGACCTATTTGTTCAGTAAGTAATGTGGTCCAAAGATATGTAAGGTAGATTATATACTTTTAGATGAAGGTGTAGGCTTCCTGCCTGCCATCCATTCCAACATTCCGGACTCCTTCTTTTTTGGTTTGACCGTTACGATTCTTGGCCCGGGTGGGCCGCTTGGGTGAGACATAAAGGGAGGAAGAGGAGGAGGAGGAGGACCTCCAAGTCCTGGCGGCGGCGGTGGTGGTCTAGGTCCAGCTCCAGGTGGCATAGCTACACCAGGGGGAGGCCCAGGAGGTCGGACGCCATTGGGGGGTGCTGTTGGAGGACGGTTAGGAAAATGATGATGAGAATATCCATGGGAACTTCGGGGCCTACCATTTGGATTCATTGGGGGTGGTCCAGGAGGTCCAGGTGGAGGTGCTGGCCTTGGCGGTTCTGGGATTGGCCACATATGCATAGTGATCGCCCAATCGGGTTCGATCACTGTTTCCCATATTTGTGGTAGAATAATCTCACCATTGGGTCCGATCAAATCATAGTGACCTTCTTGAACGTGGGGACCAATAATATCGACGTGAAGGAAAGCTTGTTTGATCAATTCTTCCATGCCCTGTACAAAATTGTTAACAACTTATTGCATTGTATTTTTAAAGGGAAAGAACAATGAAAGAATAACTTACAGCCCATGTTGCACACAACTGGAATGGGAAGCTGAATTTTCTGCCTACGGCATCCTTGAATTTGATAGGTTTCTTTTTCTCATCCGCTGGTGGAGCAGGCGGTGGTGGTGGATTAGCAGCATTTGCAGCCGCAGTGGCAGCCGCGGTCGCGGCGGCGATAGCAGCGGCTAACTCATCTGCTTTCTTCTTTGCTTCTTCCTCTTCGGCTGCTCTAGCTTTTGCTTCATCTTCCTTAGCTTTCAATGCATCTGCGGCGCCCTTTGCCAATGCCAATTGTTTCTCAGCCTCGATTTTAGCTTCCCATTCAGCTTTGATAGCCGCGGCTTGTGCGGCCTCTGCAGCGTCTGCAGCATCCTTAGCTTCTTTCGCTAATTTGGCGGCCAAAGCTGATTGTGCCTCTTCCATTTTCTTCTTCAAATCAGCTTCATTATCGGCAGCCATCTTTTTGAGATCTGCTTCCATTGTCGCGGCTTTCTTCATTAGATCCGCTTGTGCTTCAGATGCCTTCTTCTCCCATTCGGCCTTCAAGGCAGCTTGAGCAGCGGCATCAGCGGCCTCTTTTTCCGCTTTTGCTTCCTGTGCGAGTTTAGCCGCTAGTAAGGTTTGAGCTTCTTCCATTCGCTTCTTCAAATCAGCTTCAGCTTCAGCGGCCTTCTTTTTTAAATCAGCCTCCATATCCGCAGCCCTCTTTTCTAACTCGGCTTGTTTCTCGGCGGCCCTCTTCTCAATGGCGGCTTGGGCTTCATTAGCTTTCCTTGCCCATTCAGCCCTCTCGTCTGCTAGCTTTTGTGCAGCTGCAGCAGCTTCTTCGGCATCCAATTTCTCTTTGAGTTCTCGTGCCTCCTTGTCGGCCAAGGCCTTCTGTGCAGCTTCAGATGCTTTTTGGGCGGCCTCTGCTTGCTCTTTAGCCCTATCAGACTCTATCTTAGCATTTTTCATTTGTTCCTCCATCAAAACCATTTTCTTCTCCAACTCAATATCAATCACTGGTACTGGCGAGGCAGCTGGTGCTGGCTCAGGAGCTGGCGGGGAAAACTGAGGAGGGAAGTATTGCATCCCTGCTGGAGCCATTGCCATATTTTGCTGTCCATGCTGTCCATGTTGTTGTCCGTGATGTCCATGTTGCAATGCCTGCATACCTGGAGACATTCCTGGAGACATTCCCGGAGACATAGCAGGAGGCATGTATCCTGGGTACCCTGGATAGCCTTGACCTCCACCATAAGGCTGATTACCGGGGTAGCCTTGCTGGGGTGCATAATGCATAAGCTCTTGATTAGGATGGCCAGGATATCCAGCAGGAGTGTTGTGCCCACTGTGTCCAGCCATTGGATCATGCCTGGATGCCATAGGATCATGTCTAGATGCCATTGGATCATGTCTAGATGCCATTGGGTCGTGCCTAGACGCCATTGGATCGTGTCTGCTATGGCTGTTGAAATAGCTGGCTCCGCCTGGACTTGGGGAAGGTTGCGGTGCAAATGAAGTCTGGTTTTGTGGTGCAAATGGATTTGAACTTTGGTTGTATTGTTGTTGAGGATATCCGCCACCATAATGTGTTAAAGCTCCTGGACCAGGCCCTGGTGGAGGAGCAACAGCGGGATTGCCAAAAGGTGGTGCATATTGGGTACTTGCACTAGCGGGGTATCCATTTGGGGCATATCCAGGCGGAGGCGCTACTCTACCACCATACGGAGCGGTTTGCTGAGCAGGATAGCCTCGGCCATAGCCTGGATAGTCATCTAGTTGATCCACGGTTGTTACTGGTCCCGGTGCTGTGTGCCGGTGCACTCTAGAAGCAGACGGGCGGTGATTTCGTTCAGCGGCCGGAGTATGACGGCGTGCGGGGCGATCGTAATTTGAGTGTGCACGTTCACTGGGAGCTGGACGACCTGTACTATGTTCTCGGGAACTAATTTGTCCTCTGTCTATGTATCTTGCCTGTGCGCGTGGCCGTGAAGCAGATTCAGAGGGTTCGATATCGTCTGAATAATCTAGTCCGTTCCAAGAGTCTTGGGAATTGTCTGAAAAGTCGTGACTATCGTCTGAGCGAATGTGACCCGACGATCCTTCGGAGAATGAATTGGATCTAGAATTTGAAGTAGAGTGTGATGGGGTAGTATATGGACTTTGGGTATTAGGAGTATCGATTGTGATTCGAGTTGTTGGACCCCTTGTACGAAGACTATGGGGAATAAAAGAGTCAGCATAGGTGAAGCTAGACCGCTAACCATGTCGCAACTATCAGTGTAACAGTTATGTTGTGAATTTAGGTACTTACGGCATCGGGATGTCTCTTTCAAGGAATTATCTCCCACCCACGACTCTCGATTCGAGAATGTCGGAGTGAAGATATCCTTGAAAATGGGTTGTTGAAGGGGGGGGGGGAGTCTTCGCCCAAGCTATGTCCCACCTCACAACTTCTTGAAGAATGTTCTGGATTGGACTGCCGATAATGTATTGCAGAAAAATCTGTGAAGTTTATACGAATTGTATGCAGAAGATGCAGACGAAGAAGCGACTCAACGTCAAAGCACTAAAATCAATTGATTTTTAAGGTTGGACGGCGTCGTGTCAAACTTTTGGTAGTTTGAGTGAAGAGGTAATAATAAATTGTAGTGGTTGTGCGGGCCGTCGCGAACTTAACTAGTTAAGTGGTTCGGTATTGATCAATCGACGGGTATGCTAAGATAGTTTATGACAATCCAAGGTTGTGTTGATCGGAGATGTAAGCGGCGATGTTTAGTGATACTTTGAAATATTAATATGATAAGTAACACCGCTGATGAAATCGTCGACTGTCGACTGTCGACTGTCGGTGTTGTTATTCGAACGAGATGGTTTATGTTCGAAGAATGTGGCGGAGAGATTTTTATCGATAAGTGAGGATTGAGTCTTCGAGAGAGGGTTTGGAGGGGAAAGGGAAATCAAGAAATAAAAATGTGGTGTGTGGATCTTGAATGGATGTAATAAGTGGGTGGGTGAGAGAGTGGATGAGTGGATGAGTGGATGAGTTGATGGGTGGATGGGTGGATGGGTGGATGATGAATGATGGATGATGGATGATGGTAGGTGTGTGTGTGTACGGAGTAGTTGTGGTGTGGTGGATTATAATTTTTTGGGTTTGGTCTGTGGGCAGCAGTGGCTAGAAGTACTGTCTGTACGTAGCCACGAGTAGCTTTCCCGGATCCTTTTCTGCTGCGAGGGGTCGAATATTTTAGCGTATATTTCTTATTATTCGTTGTCAACCAATCCAAACTGAGCTGGACGGTTATTCGTCTGCTAGTTCGAGTAGGTAAGGTAGTATTTTCTAATTCCTTCGATTGTTTCCTAGGCTGCCAGGTTCTTCCTATTTCGATTTTCTCTTTCTCATCAATGAAGTCCATATGCATCCTTTTGGGTACTCTTACGTCTCATATACCTAGTACCCTCGTACCTAGCGACATTTCAAAATTGGCACACACTCGCGGCAAATGGAGAAAAGAGCGAGCATTATCGGTATACAAGGTTGAAGAGCCATTGCACATACACTGTAGTACAAGGATCAAGGGATCAGTTCATGGAGAAGATGTTGATCTGGAAGAAACGATAGAAGTTCTCAAGTAACAGAAAAGATTGATCGCCTATCTGATATCTTGAGTTATGTGAAGATCGAACTACTGTAACATACCTTTCTTTCCTTGTGAAGTTGTCCAAAAGGTAAGATGATCCGAGGTATGATATTGAGATCCTAGGTACTCCAAGGAAGAAAATGATCCAAAAGAATCTCCAAATGGGGTTTTATCCGCAGTCGATATTAGAAGTCTAGACGATTATGAAACCAGAAGAATACTAGAAGGGAGGGGAAGCCGGAGAGGAAATGATGAATGGTCCGTGTATGGAGGGGAGTAAAGAATAGATGGAACACCTGGAGAAAAAAGAACGGGTCTTCCAATTAGTCGTCCTGAGGGGTAATAACTGTATGGCAATGGTAATAATCAAACACTGATTTTATGTGTGAGTACTCGAGTACTCTGTGGTATGTTGATATGATCACTCCGGTACCACTGACTTGGTTTTCGGTTTCTGGGAATTTCAAATCAAATGAAAGAGGAGGAAAAAGAGATTGACGGTGTGATATGATGTTGTGTAGTTTATGTAGACTTCATGTTGTGAGATAGTTTGTGTATTTTTGCTTTCTTATTCAGAGTCTTCCGTAGTGGAGACGGATTGGTTGTTAATGTAATAATTGTTCTCAATCCGTTAGAAGACTTTGTTTCAACGAGAGGATGAATGATGTGAAGGACAAATAAATATTGGATGGATGGTACTCTGTTGCTAGGGGGGACGAGGTGATGAATTCAAGTTTGGGGGGTAAAGATGGAAGATTCCGGTACAAATTCGCTTCGTCTGCTGATGAAGGGGTAAAAAGACTTGCGAACCGGGTACGAATTTAAAGCCCTTGGGCTCTTATGGGAAGAGTAAAAGTGTCAGAAAAGTCATGAGTTTGGCTTTTTTTTATTAATTTAACATGCAGAACTGCGTGAATTGTGGACCGAAAGGGAAAAGTATCACTTCGCGGTTTTTGATTTTTTGATTCTGGAACTTCGGGCTTGTGTGGTTGGTTCCTTCAGCCTTTCCTCTTGGTGTAGTTGGTCTTGTGATTAGATTGATGATGTTTCTGCATATTTGAATGTTGAAATATACAACTAGGGCTCCACGATGTTGCACAGCAGATTGGACAATGGGAAACTCTCATGTATAGATACAACTTGTGTAGTATTCGGGATAAAAATCAAGGAATTATTGCGGTGTCAGCTGTAATCGACCACCCTCAAGGCTGACTCTATCTACATATACCAGGCCTTCCAAACCCGTGCGTTGTCACGATTCTAAAAGACTCATCTCTGAATTGTTTCTTTCAGGTTCGGATAGGTTCAGATAATCAGAGCCGCCTAAAAAAAACCTCGTCACCGCCTTTTTTTAACAGCCTAAAGATGCCCAAGAATTCCGAGCCTCTTGCCCAATGTGGCAAAGCTAATCGCCAATTCAATGATTGGGCACCGAAATCCATGAATGCGCTCCTACTGGTGCCACGACCTCGGGAGGGGCTTGTAACCTACCTTTCGATTGTCCAATTCTAGCCCATGACATTTGAAATGACGGATTTGAACGGTAACATTCTCATGCAAGTCGTAACCGTAATTTTTAGATGGAAGAAATTTTCGAATTGAAAAACCATATCGAACCTTGCACTTTTGAATGTGCGAGTGCATACATCCGACGTTGAAAATAATGATGGGAATTCATGTTCCAAAATGTGGATCTTGTGTCTCCAGGATCAAGATGATGTGCCTTGCATGTTCCACATTCTGAGAACTGATCAATTTCTATGAATATCAACGAGTAATAGAACCCGAATCTCTATTCAATAATTCACGAGCGGCGATGAGGGAAGCTTCGTCATAACCCTCCCAGCCAGGTTCTTTAGCAGCACTTCGTCGGACGATTTCCGATAATTTAGATGTAGCCGTCTCATTCAGCTTCTCGATTGTGTTTGTATCTGGGAAGGGCAGATTATTATCTGGTTTGCTGTTTCGACTTGTTGGGGGCTTGCGGAGAAGTTGACTACTAGCCTATGGTGTGTTAGAAGTGATTTGTCAAAATAGAGGTTAGACCAACCAGTTTCAAGCCATAGTATCCACGAAGATAGTCATCACATAATTCGATGCTTCTACAAAACCTTCGCAAAGAGTCTGCAAGGTACCGGTCCGAGTTCGAATCATTCACACCTGCGGCAATGTATAGAATCTCTCCGAGTCGGGCGTGCATCTGCGGTTAGTTGTTAGCATATTTACAGCTTCCAAGAAAGATACTAGGCCGCCCACATTCCATGCATTAGGTGTGATGAGCAGGACCTCTTCCAATGCAAAAATTCCTTGTGGATACATGCCCTGCGAAACATAAAGATCTGCCAACTCTGCCCAGGATTCTGCATCCGTGGGGGATAAGTCCAACAACTCATTGAGTGCGGTAATTGCCTCTGAGGTTTTTCCAAGTGACCTGAGAACCGAAATACGACGTTTCAAGATAGGCTACACAGCTCAGTAAGTGTTTTTGTGGAAACACGTTCGAGTAAGCTTACCATGTTATTTGGATTATCCGACAAGTTTTGTTCGTATCCGTCCAGTACTTTTTGTAATGCTGCATTGTCTTCTGCGTTGACTTCACAGAGTAATCCTCTCATTGCCATAATCCGCTCGTTTTCAACCCCGAACCTTTCCTGGAGTCGCTTGATACATAGCTGCGCAGATTTCTCATCACCAGTTCGCAAGCATGACATTAATAGGTTTTCGTAAGTAGTCCACAATTCTGGTGATTCCGCAGCCGTCCAAATCGAGCTTAAGGACCATGATGATATCGATGAAGGTGTGTTTCGCAATATAGAGGGAGCTTGCTGAGAGTTTTGTAAGGCCAGTGCTGGCGGGAGATGTGCAGGTGGGTGTAAGAGTGCAGAGGACATGATTGTAGTATTTCGGAAGTTCTAGATGTGGCTTTTGTGGAAGAAGAAGAGTACAGTATGAAAATCTGGGGTTGTAAGATCGATTAAAGTAGGGACAGCTTGTGATTGTGAAGCTCTCCACATAAAGTTTAGCTCTCACGGCTGTTTTGACGTTTCTCAAAGTTTATGCCTTATCTGTGATGTTAATGCCTTAATATCTTTATCGATGCGGGCGGTGTAAAGCTAGTGGGGGGATGGGTATCGGATGGACACTTGCATCTTCAGTCAACATAGAAGAAACTCATTACAGCATTGGAACAATCACATTTGGTTTCTAATCTCCGCCAAATATCAGGAAGCCTCAAGTCATGCGCGTCGTATCTGCTGAACATTCAACGCTCCGTTAATCCAATTTCTTAATGGAGGACCACTCGATACAAATATAAGCCCTCAAAGATGTACGCCCTTGCTCGGAACAACCATACTTTCATTCAGGATAATGTACTAAAGCTTTAACAGGTTTGAAAAGTCGTTGTATGACCTCATTCGAGGTCTGCGAAACCACAAAGGCAACGAGAAGGAGTACATTCAAAATAGTTTGAAAGAATGTCGTGCGGAAATCAAAGGATCCGACATGGGTTAGAATCTATGGCAGAAGAAGGGGGTGCATTTTAACTGACGGATAAAACGCAGACCTCAAGGCTACGGCCTTGCTGAAACTGGTTTACCTGGAAATGTTTGGACATGATATGTCATGGGCTTCCTTTCATGTTCTCGAAGTTATGTCCTCGCCAAAATACCTGCAGAAACGAGTCGGATATTTGGGCGCTGTGCAGAGTTTCCGACCGGATACTGAAGTTCTGATGTTGGCTACAAACCTCTTGAAGAAGGTACGATATTCTAAGTGATTCTTAAGTATTGTACTTAGGCATATACAGGATTTGAGTTCCGCGACACCGACAACAATGTCTCTACCAATCATAACATTACCGCATGTCATTACTCCTTCACTTGCGCTATCGGTTCTCTCAGACTTGTTACCTCGAATGACACATTCCCATCCAACAATTCGCAAGAAAACTATTGTCACACTTTATAGATTGGCTCTAGTCTATCCAGAAACATTACGTCCGGCATGGCCAAAAATCAAAGAGCGATTGATGGATGAAGGCGAAGATCCAAGTGTTACAGCTGCAATTGTCAATGTGGTTTGTGAATTGGGATGGCGGAGACCTCAAGACTTCTTACCACTCGCCCCGAGGCTGTTCGAGCTCCTTGTTGATAGTGGAAATAATTGGATGGCCATCAAACTCATCAAACTGGTTAGTTTCAAATCTTGTACTAGGAACTATATTTTGACACACGTCTAGTTCGCTACCTTGACTCCGCTTGAGCCAAGATTGGTCAAAAAACTTTTACCACCACTGACATCTATCATTCGAACCACTCCAGCAATGTCACTGCTATATGAATGTATAAATGGTATTATATTAGGCGGAATTCTAGGAAGCAGTGAGGAATCGGCAGGCGGGGAAGAGATAGCCACTCTTTGTGTGAGCAAGTTGCGGGGTATGATTATGGTTGAGGGAGATCCTAATCGTAAGTCTTGAGTTCCTCAGAAAATGACTGATGCTAAAGATTTACAGTAAAATATGTCGCTCTACTCGCTTTCAACAAGATTGTTGTTACTCACCCATTTCTTGTCGCTCAACAAGAAGATGTAATAATGGACTGTATCGATAGTCCTGATATCTCAATTCGCTTACGCGCATTAGACTTAGTTGTAGGCATGGTCAGCAGCGACAATTTGATGTCGATTGTTGGGAGGTTGATGAGACAACTCCGAAGTTCCCCCTCAATGCCTGCAAGTAGTTCAAATCCTCGACCAGCTGGTCACATTGAACCCGAAGCAGATTCAGACGATGAGGCCCCGGAAGTTGCCATCAGGTCTGATAGGGGGGCATCACAAGATTTGTTATTGCCTGATGACTATAAGGTGGATGTCATCACCAGAATACTCCAAATGTGCTCGATAAATAATTATGCTAATCTCGTCGATTTTGACTGGTATATCGATATTTTAATTCAACTCGTCAGGAATGCTCCGATCACAAATGCGACCTCAAACCAAGAAATGGATGAATCCTCAGATGACGATATTTCTGAAAGAATTGGAGATGAATTGCGAAATGTTGCCGTTAAGGTAAAAGCAGTTCGATCTCAAGCGGCCAGGGCTGCTGATTCAATACTGATACTAGCTTTTAACGATACGTCGAGTCAAGTTAGCTCCGGAAACGGAGCACTTCGTCCGATATCATGGATGATTGGGGAGTACGCTTCTTATTTGGAGTCCCCAGAAAATACAATGGCAGCCTTACTGCATATTGCCAAGGTGTCAACGTCTGCTGAGAGTCTCATTGTGTACCTCCAAGCATTACCAAAGGTTTTTGCGATCATAGCCGATGACGAGCATTCATTATGGACGGTTGAACGGAAGACAATGATGTCACTGTTAATGGCACGCATCATAAATGCCATTGAACCCCTAGCAATGCACCCCGATTTAGAGGTCCAGGAGAGGGCAGTTGAATTTTCAGAGCTGTTAAAGTTGGCAGCGGAAGCGACAAATGGTCAAGAGCCGTCCTCGGAATCGGTTCAGCAAGATGCACCACTTTTACTTACACAAGCACTCCCTTCTCTATTCAGGGGGCAGGAATTAAACTCAGTTGCAGCTAGTGCGCAGAAAAATGTTCCGTTGCCATCTAATTTGGATCTTGATCAGCCAATCAATCCAAATTTGCACAACCTACTGCGCAATGTAGACATGATATCCTTCGATGAGCCCGAAAACGACGAATTCGAAGTCTATTATCATCAGAAACCGGAGCCTACTTCAATTTCATCAAATGAACCTGCTATCAATCGTCTTGGCGGAAGTCCCGACCAGCCTGCCCAGTCTTATCAACAAGGCAGCGAAGAGTCATACCTAGATCCAGATATCGTTGCGCGACGGAAAGCGGAAAGACTTGAAAGAAATAGAGATGATCCTTTTTACATTGCACCGACTGATGGTAGTATCTCTGGCACTTCAACGCCTCTTCATAACATTATTCAAACCAACAATGGACCAGATTTAGATATCGATGCCATACCAATCATGCAGCTAGACCTGGGCAAGACAAGTCTAAATACAATAAAAACTAAAAAGCCCTCGAAAAAGCCTCGTCAACGAATACAAGTGGCTGCCGATGAAACTCTGAATCTGAGTGGAACTTCTACGCCCGCAAACGATTCCGAAAACAGTACTGATGGACCCATCAAGGCGCGAATGACAAAAGGGAAACAATCCCTTTTACAAGTAGACTCGAGTCATATTGGCCAATTTTCCCTTGAGGGTGACAATACTAGCGGAATTGACTTTGAGCGGCAGCAGAAAGAGGATGCTGAGATGGTAAAGGCTATGAAAGAGGTAGAAAGACTTCGATTGGAGATGCAGCGAGCAAATGAGAGAATCCATGCTGCACAAGATGTTCCACCAGAAGGAACGGTGGTGAAGAAGAAGACGAAGAAGAAGACCAAACCAGTCGAAGGCGAAGTAGCGACAGTGGTTAAGAAAAAGAAAAAGGCCAAGAAAATTGTAGTTGACGAAGGAGAAGGCGAAGGCGAAATTTCCATGGCTCCAACGACTACAGATGTCGTAAAGCCGAAGAAGAAAAAGAAGAAGCCAAAGGTAGAAGAAGGGGTCGTGGAACAGGCGTAATATGCATAGCGTTTAGGAAGCATTCAATGGCGTATGGAGCTTGCAACAGATACCACAAAGGTAGTCATGGGCTAAAAACTTTTGAGTTTTGATCACAATGTAGTTCTGTAGGTAATCCATGTGAATGCATTTGTACAAAGTATTCGATATTTTCTCTCTCAATTGACTTTGAAGTATGCAGAATTCCTTGCTTTGATTATAGTCTTGGTACTTGACATTCCTACGTTGATTCAGATTCGCGCATCCAATCTGTAGGAAAGGGGGGCTAGTACACGTGACCACAATCCTTATCCTTATCGGAGCCTAGAGCTCGGACCAACAACGAGCAAAAAAAAGATTCCCAATCGCATATCAAAATTCAAAACTCTCGTTCTGCCAGATTTTTTCCGAGTGTAATTCTTTTACACATAGACAATATGGCAACCTCAGCAAACTTCATTCCTCTCGGGGGAGTGGATAAGACTCATGAGTTCGATCAACCTATGAAAAAGCGCGATGCGGGTTATAGAGCTAAGTCTCTTTCCGCTGGAAAGCCGAAGGTTATTGGAGCTACTAAAGGTAGGTTCATTTGTTCTTTGCATATCCATTAGGATATGGCCCGGCCATAGAATTGAGATGCTTTTGCCTCGTTTGAAGTGGGATAGAAAATTCTAATGAACTGGGAATACAGAGGAGCGATCGCGAATTGCGCGCGAAGTACGAAATGCGGCGAAGAAAGAGAAGAAGAAGGCCAAGTCCGATGCAAAGAAGGCTAGAAAATTGAATGGTATCATGACTAGACGAGCTGTAAGTCTTCGAATTTCTAATTTTGGCTGGTAGGGCGGAAGAAACTGATTCAATTTGGGCTTCTAGACTCGTAACCCAGAAAAATACAACAAGAACAAGGAGAGAAATCGTCTTCACGCAATCGACGTCGAACGTTACAAGATTCGCTTGAACGCCGTCAACCAAGCCCAGAAATTGGCCGCGGTCCATGATCCTAGTGGAGTTTCCTTTAATGTGGGAGAGGTAGTTACATTGGAAGATGGAACCGTGAAGAGTAAGAAGAGCTTGGAGAGGAAACAAGAACTTGCCGAAGGGAAGCAGTCGGTCCAAAATGAAGATACTGCTGTGCCAGAAGGTATCAATCCGGAACGACTTCATCTTCTTGATGGAGAGAAGAAATCACATATTTCGAAGACGGCACTCAAGAAGAAGAAAATGTACGAACCAAAACCTGTTCCACCTAAACCGATTATTCCAGAGGGAGTCGCTCTACCGGAAGGAGAGCTGAATTGGTTAGCATTATGGGATATTTCGGATGGACAAATCGAGCAGAGGATCGCGATGGCTAAGAGAGAAGCTGGAAATGCAAAGAGGGATCTTAGAAGAAGGCAAAGGGAAGAAGCTAAATTCAGGAGGTTAATGAAGGCGAAGAGAAGAAACGCACAGAAAATGGGTGTTGTTTTCGATCCCATTGCAGCAAAGAACGAGATTTTGGGCGACAACGATGATGACAAGGATGATGAAGAAGCTTCTGATTCTGAAAATGAATCGAATAGTGATTCTGACTCCGATTCCGATTCCGATTCTGACTCCGAGAGCGATAACGAAGAAGATTCCGAGGAGACCAAGGCCAAGAAACGAGAAGAGAAGAAACAGAAACCCAGATTTAACCTAGACGAGAGCCAATTAAACGCAATCGTCAAAAAAGAAATACAGCGTGTCAGGAAGGATACACGAAAACAAGAGAAAATAATGGGTGTATATGAGAAAGAGCCAAAAGTAATGACCGAAGAACAAAAGGCCGCATTGAAAGAAGCCCGTATAAAGCGCAAAGCCGAAAAGAAAGCCGAAAAAAGGGCAAAGAAAGAGGAAGAGGCGAAGCTGGGAGTAGTAAGTTTGAAGGGAAAGCAAAATAGAAAAGCAAGGAAGGAATTAAGGAGGGCTGAGAGGGCCAAGAAAGCTGAAGAGAATGGAGATGCGCCTGCGACAGAGAACGTCAAGGAGGACGAGGATGAAGGAGGTGTCGATTTATTGGGTAGTCTGGAGATGGCACTAAATCAACCTGAGGAAACGAAGGAACAGAAGAAGGCCCGTAAGAAGGCTGAAAAGGCCGAAAAGGAAACATCCGAAGCAGTGGAGGAAAGTAAAGAAGAGAGGAAAGCTCGCAAGAAGGCCGAAAAGGCCGCAAAAGTGGTCGCCGACGAACCAACACCGGCCGCGGTCACAGAACCAATAGAGGAAACTAAAGAAGAGAAGAAAGCCCGCAAGAAGGCTGAAAAGGCGGCTAAATCCACCCCTGTCGTTGTCAAAGAGGAAACTCCTCAACCAGAACCAGTAGCAGAGGAAAGCAAAAAACGCAAGCGCTCCAAGGAGGAAAAGGAATCTTCGAAGAAGAAGAAGTCCAAACCCACTGAAGAGCCTGAGGAACCAAAAGTTGAGAAAGAAGTAGCGGCTCAGTGGAATGCAGATGCGCTAGATGGGGATGCGCAAAGGAAAAGCAAGTTTTTGAGATTGCTTGGGGCTGGAAAGGGCGGCGCTGTCAGTGGAAAGGGGGTGGAAGCTAAGGGCAAGGGAGATATTCAGAAAGTGCAGAGTGAGTTGGAGAGACAGTATGATTATGGGATGAAGATGAAACATGATGGAGGTGGGAAGAGGAGAGGTTTGGGCGCATAGGGCTACATTCAAGCGGGTAATTGAATGAGATAGGAGCGGGTAATCTGTTTCGCTGGGCTGATGAAGTAGAATCTTGATATCCATTGGATTAACTGTTTATGTTACCTATCATTTCAGGGTTATGGGAGTCCTAAAAGTTGCCTTCATCTCTCACCATCTTGTATCTCCTCGACTTCTAGATTGAGCGAGTTGATGAGTAGATAGATAGAACCAAATGAAAGATAAATATATTTTAATGCAGGATATAGCTAGATTTTGTAAAGCAACATCCGTTCATGAAATCAAGCAGGTAGGTATACATATTCGTAGCTGTGCCGGAATTATTGACTTTCGATCCGCCAGTGAAGATGTGCACGGAAATGGAAGACATCAAGATATTTAAGGCATATCGCAATTTCGTTCCAGATATCTTTTCGAACTTGAAATATGTTCAATTGACATGTATATGGAGCGCTAAATCAATCATTCATTGATATTGATCCCATATGAAAACCCCCCTTGACCATCGAAATCCGGTTACTTTTGACGGATACAAAAAATGGAATAAGAAAACGAGACCCAAATAAAACTCCCATCCACAAATTTCGCAATTGCTTTTCTCAATTGCAGACTAAGTCCAACCCCTAGAATATCGATAGCTCGTAAGCCTCCGTCTACTGCGACATGATTTGGGTTGCATACAATGCAAATCCCCAGTTCCTCCGTTTTTAGTTGGCATATATGATCGCGAGAATCGAATGAATGAATTGAATAAGATAGAATGCGATGCGCTTATTTACCGCCGCTGAAATAGGAAACTACGCGGAAAAGGAGGTCGACAAATAATCCGCCAATAAGGATAAATGCGAATAGGTCTATTGATTGAGTTGTTAGCTTGAGTCTTGCGCATAGTGATATCTCTCAAAATTCCTCCATGATGCACATTTCGCTGGGCTGTGACTTCTTCCTGTCTGTCCATTGGACTTCTGCTTCCGCCCAAGATTCTTTGACAGACATTCGATGAGCGATTGAGAAACGCCCATTTCCCACACCAATTAAACTTCTGCTTGAATTGCCCCTCTTCTCAGTCCTCTGACCGGCCTGCCTTTCCTCCGCAGCCCTCAATTTCTTTTCCATCTTCCCTTCTATGAAGTAAAGACACAAGGAGAAGTCAAAACCTACATAACCAACCCTTACTAATAGGGCTCTTCTGTTTCTTCAACTCCTTCTTGTGCAATTGAGCTTCTGATTTTCCTTGTTTGTTCTCATTGACGGCAGCGAACTTGAGGTTTGCTTTGCGTTGGGCGGGTGTTTGAACCTAGGGAAGAGGGTTAGTTTGAGGGTTTTTGGATTTAAGAAGCTAGAATAGCGATCGGAGTTTTTAAAGGGAGATGTTCAATGCGAATTAGAAGAAGAGGTAGAGAAGAATCAAAAGCCAAACGATTCTGGAAAACACAGTGCCCCCGAAGTTTAATACGAGGGGAAAAGTAAAAGTACATACCATTTTGACGTTTGCGATTGCGAAATATGAAATATGTCTGTCTCGCAACTGATGTATTGAAGTGGACTCGAGTTTTGTTTAATATGTTTTTGAATTGTGAAGGTTGAAAATGGTAAAAGATCTAAAATGTAAATTATCTGTCAACAAGTGTTTCGGTAGGATTTATAATAAAGGGTGATATATCAATCTTATTCAATATAAAATTACTTTGGGGAGAAGAAAGCTTGGGCTGAGAGCTTCGTAAATGTGTCCCGATCGGCTCTTTGGACTTGGAGATGCGGCCGATTATTTGTGGGGAAGCCTGTTCGCAGATTGATGGGCAGAATTTCGCTAATGCTAAAATGGAAGCGGTCTGTATTTAGTCATCCAGGTCTTACTACAACATCTTTTGGTGTCAATCCAGATCATATTCTACGATTTCGAGAATTTTGTGTCATCGGGGAGATTAGACTCACCATCATAGGACAGCACCATGCATGTTATCACGTTGGGGACCTCTATTATAAGCATCAATCAAAGACTGTACTGAATAGAAGGATAGGTAAACAAAGACTTCAAGGATATTAACTCTACATAAAGATGTGCTTGTCTCGAAGTTGGGCGCGGATTGTTGCGAGACTTGCTTGAAGAGAAGGTCAAAGATGTCAATGACAACTTTGGACGGAAGTAGCTTGCCATTCAGCCTAGAGGAGGTAAGAAGCTCCCCGAGAAGAAAACAAAATCAGCTGCTATCAAGGTTATCAACCTTCAATGTAGCGATCTCTGATTTCTTCTCGGTAAGCTTCCTGTCACCTTTCTAGTCGTCCTTGTCAAGAACCTCGTCCTGAAATCCCCTGAGTACAAGGTCCTCAACTAGGATGACATCACCCACAGACTGGTTCTATATACTATCTAGTGAGCAACCTCGTCACACAAGGTGACTCCAGGACCAAGAAAGGAAACTCCTCCTCATTCACACCTCCCTCACTCCTACCCCCCCCTTGTCGTGCCTGTTAGCCCGATCTTCAGGAAAGTCAAATGCTTCTCCTCTACACCCGCCAACCCGCA